TCAGCAACCTAAGGACAAATTCACTACTTTATGCAGTGTTGTGTATTTTAAAAGTTATACTCAAAACACCATGAAGACTAAATACTAGAGAATACAACCTCATGAAAATAATAGCCAATCTTCATAAATCTTTCTAAATAACATTAAATGTTTTAAATTCTTCTGAATAATGTTAAACAAACTTGAACTGGTCTTTGAGTCATGTGATATTGTGAGTAAATTCTATTAAAATGTTGATAATGACCTCACACATTGATCTTGTGCTCAGTGGGGATACTTGGATACACAGGGAGACAGAATTAACACCCTATGAATTATTGATTTATCAAGATAAGACTATGTAAATTTAAGTAAGACATGGATATTTTATGTTATATAAGTCTAAATCATCATTTATACTTTTTTATATTATGATTATAAACTTAGTTCATGAATTATTCAAAGATAAAAGAGAAGCCCACTCCATTCCTACATTTGTAAGAGTAAACACTTCACGTTCTCCAATTGAGAACAAGTTCCACATAAGACTTGCCTCTATAGTTAAATTACAAAATAATACACACACAATAACAGATATAATTGGATTAAAAATAACATTAGCATTAGCATTTTGGAGAGTAAAGTCTAAGTGGCTACAACATAATCATCATTCAATTGGATAATAAATGAACACGCTCATAATCTTTCCATTATTATTGGTTAAATTATGCTTATTAGAGTAACCCTAAATGACATTTCCCCTTTCCAATTATCCTTTACCCACATATTAACTATTCAAACAACTCCTTCACAGCACCAAGTCAGTTGCCCATCCAACCTTCCTCCATCTATTTCACCTTTCACCTATTTATTCAAGCCATGCATTTTTATTTATGAGCATATTTATTTTACAGTTATATCTTCTTTCATTTTTTTAACCGTGCAATAGACTAGCCTCATTTTTGCTATCATTTCCATTTGCTTGTCTTCACTGTGCAGTCACTTCTAAAACATACCTCTTAGATACATCCTTTGTAAGAGACCCAATCATTCTGCCAGGCTCCACTTATTCATCCAAACTACTCCAGCTCATTTACATTTGTTTTATACAGCTGTATCTGGAGATCCTAATTAAGCATATCTTTCCTGCTCTGATAACTGAAGTTCTCTAGTTCTAGATATCCTTGCCTTTTCAGTGCAGAAGAATGAAAAAGTTCACAACCTGTGAATGAGGGATCATCACATTCACTTAGGAAGGTTATATTTTTCATGAACTCTGAAGGTGCACAGACAGGCTCCTGAAGGTGAGGCCAGTCCTCGGAGTCAAGGTAGTAAGCATCCTGGCCTGTGCTTAGGTATGGTCATGAAGATTATTTATACCATTTTTTTTTGCTACAAAAGTTCAGCAACTCATACATTCTAGTCACATACAAGTCTTCAGAGAACTAAATGCTAATGTGGTAGATTGCAAAAAGGCACAAATACTTGACAGTTCCTTTCATCAGGAGATGGATTTTATTACTCCACACCTTGAATCTTGGCTAGTCTTGTAATTTGCTTTGATCAATGGAATTCAAGGCATATGATACTGTACAAATTTTGAGCCTAAACTTCAAGAGACCTTGCATCTTCTAGTCTTCTTTCCTGTAATGCCTTTACCATGTGAACAACCTGAGCTAGCCCTTTTGAGTATGAGAGACCATGTGGAGACAGAAGTCCAGCTGGTCAGCCAGTCCAGTTGAGGCCCCAGACATGTAGGCAAGCCTTGGCAACACCATGTAGAACAGGAGGTAGCGGGCCCAGCTAAGCTCAGTCTAAACTGCCAACATGCAGTATCATAAATATTATTTCAAATAGCCAAAAACTATGCTAAAAACATTTTGAAAGTCTAAAATAGGTTTTAACTTTAATTATAGTATTTGGAGGCTATATAGCACTACTGGTTAAGACTGAGAGCTCTAAAGGCAGACCATCTGGGCTCGAACCTTGGCTCTACCCTTTATTAGCTTGTGACCTTGGGAAAGTTTTAAAATTTCTTATAAAATGAAGATAACCTTATATGATTGTTCTGGGAAAAAATAAGTTAATGTGTATGTGCCTAGCCCATAGCAAGTATCCAAATTGTGATTAGTTATATATAGGTATTAAAATTATGTTATAGAAATTTTAATAGCACTGGAAAAGGATTAAGATATTGTTAGGTGGGAAAACATACTATAAAATTCATATGCAATTATGATCTTTTTAAAATTAAAAAAAAAAACAACCTTTTTTAGGGACAGGGTCACACTCTGTCACCCAGGCTGGAGTGCGGTGGTGCAATCAGCTCCTACAGCCTTGAACTCCTGGGCTCAAGCGATTCTCCCGCCTCAGCCTCCTGCCACCTGCTAATATTTTATTTTTTGTAGAGATGGGGTCTTGCCCAGGCAGGTCTTGAACTCTTGGTTTCAAGCGATCCTCCTGCCTTGGCCTCCCAAAGTGCTAGGATTACAGGCTTAAGTCACTGCACCTGGCCCTTAATTTATAAAAATGCTACTATTTATGTAGACATAGGACTAGAACACCACTATCCTCCCAGTAACTACTATATATTCTCTGGTAGTAGGAACACATTTTCTTCATTGCTTTTCTGTATTTTCAAATTTTCTAAAATAAACATGTACTGGCTCTCTAATCAGGAAAAATATTACTTCCAAAAAATTAAGTGTTATAAGTAAAGAAAAGGCTAATTAATGTTTCCCTGATCCTTAAAAGGATTAGGGAGGCCGGGCGCTGTGGCTCACGCCTGTAATCCTAGCTCTTGAGAGGCCGAGGCGGGTGGATTGCTCAAGGTCAGGAGTTCGAAACCAGCCTGAGCAAGAGCGAGACCCCGTCTCTACTATAAATAGAAAGAAATTAATTGGCCAACTGATATATAAAAAAAAAATTAGCCGGGCATGGTGGCGCATGCCTGTAGTCCCAGCTACCCGGGAGGCTGAGGCAGAAGGATCGCTCGAGCCCAGGAGTTTGAGGTTGCTGTGAGCTAGGCTGACGCCATGGCACTCACTCTAGCCTGGGCAACAAAGCGAGACTCTGTCTCAAAAAAAAAAAAAAAAAAAAAAAAAAAAAAGGATTAGGGAAACTTTTTATTGGAAATAATCACAACCTCTGTGCCTAGTAATATGCTATTATTTCTTTCTGTTTTAGTCAAGTGAAGAAAAAGATATGGAGAGTCAGAAAGAACACTGCATTAACCTGCATGATCTAAATACTAGACAGAAAAATTGAGACTGTCCCTTAGATTGGTTTTAAAATGTCTCCAGCTGTCCATTCCTACTTTTCTGCTTGAAATACCATCTCCCATCCCCATCTCTTGTTCTTCACTACACTAGCTCCTATTTATTTCAGTTTAAATGCCACTTTCTCAGAGGGGCCTTCCCTAGTTTCCCCAACCTTTATTTGACTTTTCAAGTCTAAATTAGATCTCTCTTGTAATTCCCCCTTATAATATTCAGTTCTTTTCCTTCACACAAATTATTACACACTACTGAGATTTCTTTTTGCCCTTGTTATCCTACATGATTGCAAAGAAAAAGCAGTTGAGACAGAGAACTTCAAGTCAAAACCTCCCTTTGTGCCTTTAAAAATATATAAGGAAGTGGTAAGTGACGGTCTGTATGCATATGTAGAAAATGCTTACTATAAAACATCTCCTTTCTTAAAAGCCAAAAAGTGAAAAATCACCAGCTCTCAAATACATATCCTAAAAAAATTTAGAGAATTGTTTTAACAAATAGAAATAGGTCACACCAGAACATCTATGAACTAATTGATAAATTCACTATAATTCTGAAGGAAAAGTTATTTATGATTTATTTCTGTATGTTAGCCCTCAGCATAGTTTGTTATTTTTTTACTTCTCTGTAGTATGATGATGAAATTTCTCACAGGGAATACAGATTAAAAAAATACTTGTCTGCATTTACATAATCTATTTAAGAGTATGCTAAGCAAGTTTAGGGGGTAATTTTCATATCTTATCCTTGTATTGCTAGCATTTTGGCTACTCAGGACACAGCAGACAAAATTTTTTCCAAAAATTATACTATGAGATTAAAATAATTGTGAATTATATCCATTTGGGGCTGTGCTATTAGCTATATCAAAAGAGCTAATATTTATATACTCTTTTACTATAAGATGTTTAGTACTCTTCAATTCATTTGGCAGTGGATGGCAAGTTCTTACTTGGAGTAATCAATACCAAACAGAGGTAATATAATGTTCCCCCAGTTACTTTGAAAAGCAAAGTTACTCTTAAAGTAAAAATAGAATGGCTCCTCAGCCATTGAAGAAACCCACCCAAAGGCACTGTGTCTGAATATGGATAAATATCTAGGAACACTCAAGTCCAATCAATCTCTCCAGCAAACATAACTAAATGTAACAGAATAACTACAGTCTAATAAAGTATCTAATAAGGTCTCTCAAGAAACAAGAGTAAGAAGATTGTCTCTGTGTAGGTTTTAGAAAGGGGAGCCCAAAAAGCACATCATCTCTAAGCCCCACAAAGTAAATGATCTTGTATTGTGTTTATGTAGCTCACACATTAGGAATGAAACAAGTAATAATACCCAGACAGACATTTAGTGACATCACAGGAAAAGTATCTCAAGGACACTACATTTACTATTTGGTAACTACTCACTGGAATGCTGAGGTTGGCAGAGAAAAATGTAGCAGCCAAAGAAAATATATGTACAAAGTACTCAGATTGGAGAGGAAGGGAGTTTCAATATCACAGAATGAGGTATAGAGTATTTTAGAGATATAATGAAGAAAAGCAAAAACGGTAGAACATAAAGTCTCTAACAAACAGATAAACAAAATATGAGACCAATTATAAACAGGAGGACTTTGGGCCCAATCTCATTGCGTAAGTTTTTGGTTTACACATGGTATGAGAATAATGATATAAGCAAATTAACTGACAATATTTAAATTAAAAGATTTCACATAAAAATGTCGATTTCCTGCTTTACCTGAGAAACTGGACAATGTGGTAACACTAGGTCAACATTCCTGCCTCGCAACAATTATCTGGAATGGAGCAGTGGCTGCTCCTCCAGAAAAGGTTCGGCTCTCCGGCTCACTGCAGTGGCTTCCTGCTTCTTTCCCACCAGCCTGGCCTCTGTAGGCATTTGGGTTCCCAAAATCTGGAACAGAAAGGATCTTGAGACAAAGGTTGAAGGACTCACTGTAGTCCTTGACAAGAGGTACAACTTACTTTTTTAATGACAATTTGTCCTACATTTCATAGTTTCTTCTAAAGAGTGGAGGATGAACTTTCAGTAGATCATCATGCATTATTAGCACGTGTAGGAGTGCCAGCAAGTCAGCTAAAACCATAAGCACACAGGTAACTTTCTTAATGAAACTGAACTGACCCTGAGATTGTGATGATTCCTAAATTAGAGGAGATAAAGGGTACAGAGAACTCCTATCCGATTTTAATCCTCTATCATTCTTTGTTTCTTAGTACCATCATTGGCAATACTGCATTGTCATTATCTCAGGAGCTCACCTTGGGATCAGAGAATTGTGGAACCAAATTGCACAATTATTCATAATTAAGAACACATAAAATGCCACTGATTTATTTCTGGATTTAAAAAATTGTTTTCTTTTAGCAAATTAGAAAAAAATTTCATAAGGTCTTTCAAAGGTATTCCTGAGACCTCTGACTCCTTACTCTATTTTCTCCTAGTCATCAGGGAGATACGGCTGTACTCTGTTGTGTGACAAGGTTCTTCCTCAGCCTTGGTAAAATAATCCTTGGGATAGTCTAACTTATTTTTTTCTGTTTCTATGGCCATTGGACAGCCTTCTGATTACTTGATGGATTTCATAGGTGCTCTGATATCCTCAAGTTAGTGACTTGGATAGCAGGTACAAGTATCTCAGTTACTGAAAACCAATAAACACACACACACACACATACACACACACACAAATAAATAGCTCACCTGGCATACAAATTAAGTTCTTGTAAATAGAGATGGTCTGTGTTAGACCCCAGAAGCCTAATACTCTTGAAAAAAAAATAGCAAAATCCAGTTTTTGACATGGCAGCACTAAGGACCACATCATGGACACAGTCATTGCACAGGGCATTCCCTCACCTTTGAAGTCTTTCCTGAAGCCAGCCTACTGTTTGTCCCCTTGTTTGTTTGTTTGCTTTTGTGGTGCCACCTTCCCCTGACTACATCGTTATTAGAAAAACTAGAAAATGATTTTGTACCAGAGGACAGGGGAATGTATAGGACAGTGGTAGCATACTTGAGCAGAGCTGGTCCTCAGAAAGCAGCCAGGAGAGACAAAGAAGCAACTAGGGATTTGATACATGAAAAGTACTCCAGGCACTATACTTAAGGTTGTAAGTATTTATTGGGCACCAACTACGTGTGAAGCACTGTGATAAACACTGAGATCCAAACATGAAGAGAACACAGTCCCCACTTCGAGGAGCTTACTGCCTGGGGAGTGGAGGGCTGGAGAGTTGGGCAGTCAGGTAAATAGGTAATTATGATGTTGAATGATAGCAGCTACTATAGGGCCAAGGATGCAGTGCTAAGTTAGCATAAGTTAGGGTTACTCTGGTTTTCAAGGACTGGTGGCTAGGGTGGGCAGGATACATCTAGGGATGCATAGAAGTGTTAGGAAAAGAAAGGTTAATAAGAGACCCGAAACTTCACCTAATCCCTGCAAATGATCTTACTTCCAAAAGATTAATATTGAAGATTTTACATTTCTGTCCGTTAATAACATTTCCAATATTGGACTCATTTTTAGCTGGTAAGCAAACATAAAGGTCTCATTTTGTCAGGCCTTTTAACCTTGAGATGTGATAAGTGATAAAGTATTAATGAATACTTTCTGCAGGAAGATGTGGATGCCTGCCTGATGCCTGAAATAGAAATGATGACTGGACATCTAGATAAGCAAACATTTTCTAGAAAAAGTACTGTCAAATAATGATGATTCACTTCAATTAAGAGAAGAATATTAGATGTGACTGCATTGGAAGCAGAAGCCAAAAGGAGCAAGACATGGGTGAGGGAGTATTCGCCTTAGATAAAGTAGTTTAAAACTACTTTTTTTTTTTTTTTTTTGAGACAGAGTCTCACTTTTGTTGCCCAGGCTAGAGTGAGTGCCGTGGCATCAGCCTAGCTCACAGCAACCTCAAACTCCTGGGCTCAAGTGATCCTCCTGCCTCAGCCTCCCGAGTAGCTGGGACTACAGGCATGCACCACCATGCCCGGCTAATTTTTTTGTATATATACTTTTAGTTGGTCAATTAATTTCTTTCTATTTTTAGTAGAGACGGGGTCTCGCTCAGGCTGGTTTCGAACTCCCGACCTCGAGCAATCCGCCCGCCTCGGCCTCCCAGAGTGCTAGGATTACAGGTGTGAGCCACTGCGCCCGGCCTAAAACTACTTTTAAAGCAAATAAAAGTATATCTCTTAATAAAATAAGTTAATAAGTGATGAGAATAAGATGACTATGGTGCTAAAGTTATTTTAGCCAAATGTATAAATAATATTAACTAACATTATCTTACCATCTTCTAGGAACTGCATTGAACACTTTATATTATTATATTCATGTACTCATTTAATCTCTTTGCAAACCCATAAGGCAGGTTCTCTTATTTTTCTGTTCTAGAGTTGAGGAAACTGAGACAAGGAAATTAAGTAATTTTACATTTTCCTCTCTCTGATAATTTTTATCCACTTTTCTATTTTTTTCTTCCTTAGTATTTATCACTATCTACCATACTATATGTTTTACTATTTATTCTATTATTGTCTGTTCTGTCTCCTCTGGCAAAAATGTAAGCTCTGTGAGCGCGTGGGATATAGTAGTTATAACAGACAAAAATCCCTGCTATTTTTTGCTTTGGGTTCAATAGCTATTCAAAGGCTGGCTTTGTATCACATTGTATTTTAATTTCCCATAGCACAAAGAACAGAACCTTGCAAATGTTAGAGCCAAAATTGTTTGTGGAGTGAATGATGGACACACTCATTAAGCACAGATTGAGCCCTTTGCCATGTTTAGCACTAAGCTAGTCACCATAAGATAGAGGAATACAAAATATAGTCCCTGTTCTAAAAGAACTTAACACTTAGTAATAGAAATAAGGTAGAACATGACGAATACCTGGGGAATAAAATAAGAAATTCTTACATTTTATTATTTCCATTCTCAATCATTTAATGATTCCTAAAAATGGCTCCTTACCACTTCTCCTGAGACACCATAGTATTCTGTTGGACTAAACTTTCTTAGAAATGCCTAAACAATGTGTTCACAATTCTATGCTTATTCATTTGCTATTTCCTCAGCATAGAAAGATTCTCCCACTTTCCTGAAGCAACCCTTTTTCCTCCCGCCTAGAGTTACTTGTTCATTTCTCTCTCATCCTACATGTCTGTAACAGCACTTCTCATACTCATGCACACACATTCCTTGTTTTATTACCTTTGTTTTTGTGGGTTACAAACATATTATCAGACACATGTTATGCAAATAATGTGCTTTATGTTGAATTACTCATTTTTCTCACCTTTCCAAATACTAATAAAATTTCTTTCTTTACTCCCCTAAAATATAACCATAGATAGAAAAGTTCTTGTTAAAAATAAGTTAAAACCACCCATTTGCATTATTTTAGGAATAATGCAAAAATTAGCAAATTAGCTTTATATGTGAAGGGGCAGAAGTCATACATGATTGAATAATTTGACAGGGAAAATTCTTTGCCTACGTTTTCCCTTCTGTGATCTTTGAACCATTCGTTGCACTTGTATTTGGAGAGTGATTGTAGTCAACAAATTTTGTAAGTGTATGCTATCCATTTGAAAGTCTGGTTATTGCTCAGCTGTTGCACTTAAGCAATTTTCTGCTTTTGTAGCACCAATAATAATTAGCTTTTAAACTTTTCTCTTTCACCATTAAGTAGCCTTGTGTACTTAACTTACCATAACCTGTTTTCAAGGAACAATTTTGCAGATCTCTTCCACTGTGTGGTAATCAGCACAATAAGAAGGAATGATACTCGGCTTTCCCAATACCAAATCTGAATTAGTCAGAGTTCTTGAGACAAAACTAATAGGTTATGTATATAGATATGTGAGAGGGGACTTATTAGGGGAATTGGCTCACACAGTTATGGTGGCTGAGAAGTCCTACCACAAGCCATCTGCAAGCTGGAGACTCTGGGGTGCAGAGTGACTGTCCAAGTCTGAAGGCTTCAGAACCAGGAACTCTTATTCCGAAGCCAAAAGCCTCATAACCCAGAGAGCCACTGGTGTAAATCCTGAAGCCCAAAAGCTACCAAGCCTGGAGTTCTGATGTTCAAGGCAACAGAAGCAAAGTCTGTCCCAACTCTCAGAGAGAGACCAATTCACATTTGTTCTCTCTGGGCCCCCACCAACACTGAAGGAAGATCTTCCTCACCTAGTCCACTCAGAGTCACACATTGAACTCCTTTGGAAACATCCTCACAGATATACCCAAAATAATGCTTTACCAGGTTTCTAAGTATTCCAGTCAAGGTGACACCAAAAATTTAGTCCACCAGTCCACTCTTTATCCACTTGGCACCTCTATGCATCTCCTTAGACCATACTTAATTTCCAAATAAAGACAAGAACGACATAATAATTCCACCTAACATGATGCAACTATTCTGTGCACGAAAATGCACTAAAGCAGAATTCAGTTTTCAGGATTTGAACATTCAGAATTTTAACCTTTATGTTTGTGATTTTTGAGATTTTAGACTTTAGAGATTTTGATCTTTTAGGATTTCAACATTCAGGATTGTGTCTTTGGGAATTATGAATGGCACCTGGGTGCCGCATTGAGCAAGTACAATCAAGATGTAAGGGCATCTTCCTGCCATGTGACCTTACCATTCTTTCAATAGTTTTGCAGTGGCAAATTAATGTGATAACATGTATTAAATAAATTTTCATGCTTAAGTTTTGAGTATTTCTTGCCTATTTTTTGTATTCATGATGAGAAACATGAATAATGATTTAATATAGTCATTCAGTTTTAGAAACAAGATTTTCTTTACTCCTTCAAACTTCTAGACTGTTTTAATTGCAGAAATCTTAATATTCCCAAGTTAGCTATTAAAAATACT